CAAGGGTGGAGGGAGGGTGGGGTAGATAGGGGGAACCGATTACAAGGATCTAGATTTAACCTACTCTGTGGAGGATGGATAACAGAAAAGTGGGTGAAGGGAGACATCGGACAGTGTAAGATATGACAAAATAATAATAATTTATAAATTATCAAGGGTTCTCGAGGGAGGGGAAAATATGAGGAGCTGATACCAAGGGCTCAAGTAGAAAGCAAATGTTTTAAGAATGATGATGGCAACAAATGTACAAATGTGCTTGACATGATGGATGGATGCATGGCTTGTGATAAGAGTTGTATGAGCCCCAAATAATGATTAAATTTTTTTTAAAAGAAAAGAAAATTGAAAGACACATGGAAATAATTATCCAATGCATCAGTAGACCACACAAACAGCAATGTCCACAACCTTAAAACCAGAGTATCTAAGTGATGCCTAACTACCACCATTAACTGCTCTGAAAAGAATCACATGACACGGTTCTAGATCTAGGAGGAAAAGGTGGATTTGAAATCAAATCATTAAAAAAAGAAAAAATGCCAAGCTTAACTGGTTAGATGTCAACTGGTAAACCCCCTGAGACTCTGGACTCCATGTCTAGAACTGAACCCCAGGGCTCAATTTCAGCCAGGGAGGTCTATAAGGGGAACAATAAATCATGAGTGATGGTACACTGAGAGAACTGCAACGAATGAGATGAAACGAAATATATGAGTTGCTGAATGTAAGAACTGATCTGCTCTGTAAACCGTTACCCAATTCACAATAAAAGGTTTACAAACAAAATAATGCCCACAAAACTCTATTTATGGTTCTTGAATAACTTAAATTGTTGTGAAGACAGGATTGGTTCTTCCGTCCCAAAAGTGTACTAAAGCCAGATCTATACAATCCTTCTACTTATGTGCGATGGTCTTTATCTTTCGTTGTCCCATAAACCTTTTCTTCGTGTCAATAGTTCAATTTCATATAGAACATCATTGGGTTCTTCAGCTCCTCCTTAGCTTTATTTACATCATCTTCTAGTCCTACCTAGTGTATTCATTTGCTGTTGAAAGCTCTTACTTTATTGAATTCATAGTCTACAGTGTGAAGTTCTCTTCCGAGTTTCCTACGGGTCTGGGATAGATTTTTCTTTACTGGGATCCTCACTTATCTTTTGAATGCTCTATTTACTTCATTCATTTTTAGTACAATTTTATTACATAATTAGAAGGGGGTTTGTTTTACATTATTTTTGATCTTTGTGTTTCTGCTAACATGCAAGCTGTATTAGTAAAAGCCACAAAGGAATTATCCAAAATGTCTTTCACACCTTGATCTAGGACAGCAGTTCTCAACCTGTGGGTCGCAACCCCTTTGGGGGGGATGGGGGTGGGGTGGGTGTTCAACGACCCTTTTACAGGGGTCACCTAAGGCGCTTGGAAAACATAAATATTTCATAATGAATAATCAGATTGTTTTGTGATTAATCACTATGCTCTAATTATGTTTAGTTATGTTCAATTTGTAAGAATGAAAATACATCCTGCATATCAGACATTTACATTATGATTGATGAGATAACAACGAAAATAAGTTTATGGTTGGGGGGGTCACCACAACATGAGGAACTGTATTAAAGGGTTGCGGCATTAGGAAGGTGGAAAACTACTGATCTAGGACCTGTTGGATTTTTCCTTATAAGCTACCCTCCCCGAATATAAGACAGTGTCTAATACTAAGTTTTGCTCCCAAAGATGCGTTAGGTCTTATTTTCAGGGGATGTCTTATTTTTCCATGAAGAATACTGCACACATTTATTGTTTATTTTCTTATTAAAAGAGACCTCGCACTTCCTGTCTGCTGTGGATGTGCTGCGGCCAACAGTGAGCTGTGCGGCGGCAACTGCCGATATGGTCCAAAGACCAGAGTTAGAGTCCACAGTTACGGTAGCTTCAGGGGAGCTTATTTTCAGGGGAGTGCCTTATATTTCAGCAAGAGGCAAAACTGTAAGTAGGTCTTATTTTCGGGGGATGTCTTACTTTTGGGGAAACAGGTTAGCACTCCAAGGCAAGGTTCTGCTCTCTGGACACCAGAGGGCACTGCAGGAAAAGTCAAGGGCCAGCAGGGACAGCCTGCCACCTCTGCTGGGGCGCCTAGTTCCTGCTCTCACTTCTGGGACTGTCATAGCTCCTAAACTACAGTCTACTCCTCCCCCCAGCCAAAGACATCCTTCGCCTGTGGATTTCAGTTTCTTTCAACTCATGAAGACCATGCCCTAAGAAACAGGTCCTGGGTGTCCAGTAGAGAGAGAAGTGGCTTAATGTGCCTTTACTCTTCCATCTTTACTCAAGAGGCAACCCTTTTTACTTTAGAACGGCTTCTCTTGAGAGTAAATCCCCATTTGGTTAGTGGTTATAAATCGGGCTGCTAACCGAAAAGTCAGCAGTTCAAAACCACCAGCCACTCCAATAGAGGCAGACAAAACTTTCCATCCCTGTAAAGCAGTGGTTCTCCACCTTCCTCATGCCGAGACCCTTGAATACAGCACTTCGTGTGGGGTGACCCCACAACCATAAGGTTATTTTCTTTGCTACTTCATAGCTGTAATTGTGCTACTGTTATGAATTGGGCAGCCCCTGTGAAAGGGTCGTTCAACCCCCAAAGGGGTCGCGTTGTGACCCACAGCTGTAAAGAGTTCCGTCTTGGAAGCCCACAGGGGCCGTTCTAGCCTTTCCTCTCAGCTCACTAAGTGTTGGATTGGACTCCATGGCATGGAGTTTAGATTTGGGAATAGAAAATAAAGAAATTTTGTTTTCTTAACAAACACACGAACACAGATTAGAATGTACCATAAACTGCTCTTGAAAAGTCCAAAGCAGACGTGCGCGCGCGCACACACTCACTCAATTACTCCATAGATAGCTGCCCCTGAAAGCCGCAGCGAGCATACAGACCTCGGCCGAAGGCACGTCCTGTTTCTCGGGACACACTTCGTCTTTCGATGCCCTGTGAGTCTGCTTCTCTGAGGAAGCCTTCCCACCACTCGGCTTTCTCAGCAGTTCACAATGGTCCGCTTCATGCTTCGCCGGCACTTGCTGGCTACTCCCTTGACAAAATAAGAGAAAAAAGCTAGCTAATTATATCCATTTGAATTCCTGTAACAAAAAATTAACACTTTGCTTTAATAAGGATTAGACCAAAGGATTGTCTTTGACCTCTACAATGCCCTAAAAATGGATTATTTATAGATGAAAATGCTCTGTAATTAAGTTCTACATTTCAGTATTTAAAAATTTTTTGTTTGTTTGTTCATATTGGAGTTTATCTCAAGAGGGTCATTGGGGTTGACTCTTAAATTTCTGCTCAATGTTTCTGTTTTTCAGTCTATGAAACCCAGGTTTGATGGCCCTACAGGGACAGCAAGCAGAGTAAGGGTTCCTGGGGGGCACAAGGGTGGCGGGGGCTGTTCCAGAGGAAGAAAATGCTTTGAAACTGATTGTGGTACCGACTGTACCATACTGCTTGCTACGATTCAACTATGAAATGATATGACATCAGTATTAGCTCCCAATAAAATGTTTTGTTTTTTTAAAAAAAGAGTTCGACAATCTTTAAAAGAGGCCCAGGGGAAAGGGTGGGGGCTGGGCCACAGTCTTAGCTTTCTGATCAATGCTCTCAAAGCTGAGCTGCCAGAATCTCAGTTCGTTCTCTATAAGTAAGAGACCACCACCAGAGATGGAGAGTGTCAGCCCCAGAGGGCAGCGAAAACACGTGGCGAAGGCCTACCCCTACGTCCAGTCCCCCAGTGCCGGACCTCTCAGAAGGATGGCTCGATGACTCCCTGGCAGGCGTGGATGTGGACAGAGAGGCTCTTCTGGAAGCATGCGCGCCGCCCCCATTGCTCTTCTGGAGAGCTCATTCCTGAGGGGTACTTCCCCCCCCCTTACCTCACAATAAAGTCAGATCAACCTCAGCCCCACAAGAAGTAACTGGTCAGTATTTTCATTTTAGGAGCAAAGTTTTTAAATAAATATTTCCTTCTTTCCCCCTTAACCAAAGTTCCCTAACAATCCCTTTGAGATCTGGGCATATTTAGGTGGATTACCACAGTGCGAATCGTTCACACAAAGCAGGCTGCCTGCTCCAGTGGACCGCTCGATGGACACGAAGTCCCTCCCTCACAAAGCAAAATGCAAAGCAAAACACGTCATTTTTCACATTAACACTTGGTAGCAGAACTTTATACAAATCTGATGAAATGATAAAAGTACTGGGCAAGCAAAGGGCACACACACCTTTTAACTTTTCGAGGTTTAAAAAGAATCAGGGCATATTAGGGTTCCTGCCGTCTCAAAAAGAAGCCCCATCTCAGGTCCCTTTAAGGTTATGTCCTCCACATAGCACTATAAAGATGAGATCCGAAAGCTTCGTTTGCATCGCATGATCCGCTTGGGAGATTTTAGTGACTAGACCGGGCAAAGTCCTACCCAGAGGCATGGCATCTTTGATCACTACGAAATGCTTCCTTTAGTAACGAGAGAGACCTTTAAATGTCAAGTGTGCAAAGAATCTGAATCAAAGGCAATTAAGGAAGTACTCAGGAATTTCCATCCTCCTAGGACAGTCGAGCATCACCCTGGATGGTTTAGGTGTCCCTAGAGGCTAGGGAGCCCTGGTGCATCATGGGTTACAAGCTGGGCTGCGAACTCCAAAGTCAGCAGTTCAGAACCACTAGCCACTCCTCGGAAGAATGACGAGGCTTTCTACTCCTGTAAGGAGTTAGTCTCAGGACAGTTGTACCTAGTCCTATAGGCTGTCGGTCTATATGAGTTGGACTGGGCTCAATGGCAGTGAGTTGACTTAAAGGGTGGGACAAATAGGGGCAGCACTCAGCTGCTACCTGAGAGACTGGAGGTTCAGGTCCATCCAGAGGTACCTTGGAAGAAAAGCCTCATGATTTATTCCCTAATAGAGATTCCAGAAGCCATGAATATGAAACAGAATACAGACGTATCCTCCCAAGTCAACACTTTCCTAGAGTCTGAATTCATGAGGACATGGGTTTCCTTACGTTTGCTTCACACCACGAGTAACTAACCGTATGAGTCATGCTCACATACATACACATTTCATACAAGGATCCAAGAACTGTGATATCCAGTCCTAAACCACCCAAAAAAAGGAGGAAAGGACAGACTCTTAGAATATGAGGACTGCCCACGTTGGGTTCAAGAATCTGGATAATGAACATGCTGAATGTTATTAATGAGAAATATTCAAGAATTTAGAGTATATTTCATGTTAAATTGGCCCCAATCCATGCCATCCTAGTAAGCATGCTTAAAGTATCCGATATTCACTCCCGCATTACCTCACACAGGAAGAGTGTTGCTGCCCCAGTTGGAGATCACGGACAAATGGAAACAAATGGAAACGTGGGAAGTGGGTGAAGCTGTCAGAGCCCAGTTAAGGCTCTATCCAATCTAAGCAGATGGGGCGTTCTGAGCAAAGAAGTATGCCTTCATTATTGAAATCATAGGTTCCCACATTATTTGGGCTACTTCTTCAAGAAAAACAAAAAACCCAACTCCCTGGCAATGAAAATGTGTGTACCACAATCCAGGATAGCTGGCAGACAGCTCCTTTTATTGGGCCCCTCTGGATTGTTCCAACACCCCTAGGGGCGGAATCTCCCACTTTGGGAAAGACTGACTTAAGGCTTCTGGAATCCACACATGAATGAATGCATTGTTTGGATTTCTGCACATATTCTCAAAACTCTGCCTTCCAGCTGATGCCGACTCACAGTGAGCCTACACAGCATGGAAGCACTGCCTACGTGAGTTTCCGAGACAGTAACTCTTTGCAGGAGTAGAAAGCCCCATCATCTTCCAAGGAGCAGCTGGTGGTTTCAAACTGCTGAACCTGCAGTTAGCAGTTCAATGTGTAACCACTACGCCATCTGCACATACTATACTAGGATTTCAGGAATTGTAAAGGTATCTTAATCTTTGAAAATTTTCATGAGAAAACTACAGGGGGGGGGGGGGAGAAAAAGAAACCAAACTTTACCTATGGTTACCTTGGGTGAAAGAGATCAAGTTTTTGCTTAGGGGGAATTGAGTTTATTTGAACGGTGGCGGAACAATTTGGAGAGAGTTATCAATATTGGTTGAACAACACAAAGAGTATCAATAACACATAACAATGAGTACCAGGAAGAAAATGTTCTAAAATTGATTGTGATGAAGACAGTACAACTCTTCTTGAGAGGACTGAATTGCCTATGTAGATGCAGTGCCAATAAAACTGTTGAGATTTTTTTCACATAACGTTTACTGTATTATAAGATTAAAGAGGCAGTGATCGTTTACATGATTCTAAGTGGAAAGCAGACATAATCTGCTAACTGTTCCTCTTTGATAGGTCAGCCATCTGTGTTTAGCCATCATCTTGCCAGGGATGATTTACATTACACACAGGGAGCCCCACTCCTGTGAGATGATCAGGAGACTCGAACACACACGGGAGCAAAGGAAGGGGGAGGAAGAGAGAGTGGAGCACATCCTGGCCCACCAAGCCCAGAGGACGATATTCCTGCTCAGAGCAGCCAATGCATAGGGCTGGCCCCTCCACCAGACACAACGTTCCTCACTGACCCCATAGCCCTAGGTGGGACAACACTGGAGACACAGTGTGGGAATTGTGCCCCATCTGACCTCACCACACTGTGTTGAAAAACTAAGAGCGTGCAACAGAGCAGCACGGGGAGCAGAGCCCAAGAAATACCAAAAATAGGCTTTGGGGCCAGGGCATGGCACCCCATCAGACTCGACCGGAAAACACTCCTAAAGGTCAACAAACAGACCTTGAACTTTTTACAGGCTTTTCTCTCTTTTTTTGTCATTGTTGTTTTCTTCTATTGCTTTGTGTTGCTCTGTCTTGATTTTGTGCATATTATTATTTCTGCATGTCTTATCTAGATAAAAGATAGGCAGGATAAACAATCCAGAGGAGAAAACAATGGACCGATGGTCCTGGGGGATTATGGGAGAGGGGGAGGTGGGGGTAAGGAAGTGGTGTTACAAACCCAGGGACAAGGGAACAAGTGATCTAAAAATTGATGGTGAGGAGGGTGTGGGAGGCCTGGTAGGGCTTGATCAAGGGCAATGTAACCGAGAGGAAGT